CAGTAGGAGTTAGAGGAGAAGAGAAAGGAGGGCACAAGGAATAGCAGACAACGTGCGGGACGGACACAGAGCATGGGGAAAGAGTGTAAAGGAGGATGCAATTTGAGATGGGGGAAAGGGAAGGAGGACCAGGGCCAGATCCCTGGGGGCATGATGGGAAGTATGCCTTTTTCCTGAGGGCACTGAGGAGCCGTGAAGATTTGAGGCAGGAAGTTGCTGTGGTCAGACTTGCACTTTTAAGAGGGGAAGAGGTTTCATGTGCCTAGGGAGACAGTGGGGCAGAGAGGAGTGGCAGGGCCCATTCCCCACTCAGGCCTTGACCTCCAGGCTTCTGTGGTCCTGGCTGCTTATTTGTCAATGTAAGAAACAACCAAATTTGTAGAGAATTTTTCTTACAATTTTTATTGATTTCCGAAAGAAAGAGAAAGGGGGGCAGAGAGAGAGAGAGAGAGAGAGGGATTTGTGTTCCACCCTCCCATGCTCTCACCGGCTACTTTCTGTGTGTGCCTGGACCAGAGACTGAACCTGCAACTTTGGCTCATTGGGATGACACTCCAACCCACTGAGCCACCCGCCAGGGCAGCCTGTAGAGAGTGCTTATGAATTGGAGCCACACTGATGACATATGCCAGGGAACAAGATTTCCAATGCTTCGGAGAATAAAAGTTTTGCAGCTTTTCTGCATTTGAAATGAAGGAAGAAATGTGCAGGGAGGTGGGAGAAAGGAAGGGAATGGATTACAGGATACTTTAGATTCTAGGCTCTCTTGAGAGTTAATATGTCAGCTATTTCAAAGACGTGTTAACCTAGGTGTACAGAAACAATGGACAGGGCTTGCTTGAAGCAAAGATAAGCTTTTACTAAAGGAGTTACATGCCATGCCTGGGGCATGACTACCCACCATGACCTGCCAGTTAGGAATTTGTGATCAGATCACCCAGTGAGGTTACTTTCCTTAGAAGCCTCCACACATCCCTGCCTTCCTTTCCCTCCTAGTTAAGCAACTTGCATTGTGTCAGCAGCTCTGCTCCCATCCCTCCTAGTGAATGAAAAAGCAGAACTCTCACTGGCTCAACCACTGGGGCAGCTAGCTAGAGGTCGTTCGAAAGGCTCCCTATCCAAGGAACAGGATGTGTGGCTCCAGAAGCTGGGCTGCCTGTGCAGGCACCCAGGAGGCCAGAGCCCCACCCCCCCACCCCACCCCCGCCTAAACCCAAGAGCAGTGGGTGCCAAGGGTCTTTGGCCAAGGTGACTCCTCACCCTGGTGGGTCTCCCCATCTGCCATAATGAGTGGGATTAAACCATTGTTCTCTTTAATGCTTTGTGCGATCTCCTTCAGCCTCCAAGGGTGTAGTTGTTAAAAGCACTGGCTTTGTACTCAACCCGCCCTGGGTTTGACGCCACGATCTTGTAATCTGCAGTCCTTCAATGAGACTCAGTTTCCTTATCTGTAAAATGGATCTGATCATAATAGTTATCTCCCTGTACTTGGCATCTATTGCTGCATAACAAATAACTGCCAAAACTCAGTGCCCTAAAACAGCGACTTTTAAGATCTCGCTGGGTCAGGAAATTGCGAGTGGCTTCACTGGATCTTTCTGTCATCTAGGGCTGAGGCCAGGCCTAGGGCTGGAGGATGTGCCTCCAAGATGGAACCCTCTCTGGCTGGCTGCAAGCGGGCCCCTCTACAGGACTGCTTGTGGCAGCTCAGAGGGAGCCAGGCGGAGGCTGCAGCGTGCTCTGTGACCTAGAGTCGGAAGCCCACTGCGGCCTCCACAGAACCCTCGTGGCCACACAGGCCTGCCGGGCAGGGTGGGAGGGGACTAAATTAGTACATGAACACCAGGAGTCAGGGATCATCCAAGGGCATCTCGGATGCCTGGTAAGTTTCTTTGAGGATTTCATGAGCATTTCTTAATTTGTGGTCTATCCTAAAAACTTGTTTCCTACACAAAAAAATCAGCTTCCTGGGCCCCAAAACAACCTACTGACCCAGAATTCCTAGAGCCAGGCAAGCCGGGGATCTGCAATTTTAAGAAGTACCTTAAGTGACTAGACATCCTGGGTCTCAGTAAATGGGAAGGTGTAACTTGTTTTATTTATCTGGCCCCACTGGGTGGGAGTTCGAGGCTCTGGGAAGGATGCAACAAACATTCACTGATGTAGTGGCGTAGTCGAGAACTATTGGGTTGAAGGAAATTGTGATCCACTTAAAGATATCTGAACCGGTGATTGGGAATCCTGGAGAAATCCAAAGGCAAGTGTTCCGCCAGGCCCCGGGGACTGCACAGTCCACCTTGATCCGTTCGTTCTCTCTCTAGGGTCGTCTCAGGCCTAACCTAATCCATTCCCCCCAGTTCAAAATCCCCAGGACCCTGGTTGCTCAGCTTGTGTCTTGGGACCGAATGCTGCCCAAGCAGCTGTAGACAGGGAGGAAAGGATCACATGAGCTGAGGGACAGAGGACACAGTGATTGATGTCTCTGTGCTGGGCCCTGGGAGGTGGGCATAGTCCCTGCTCACCAGTGCAGTCTGGAGGCCTGGGATATCTCAGCCCACAGGGAGAGGAGCAGTGACAACAGTGCCCCTGGACAGTGAATAGAGGGCAGTGGCCATGGCCCCAATGCCCAAGTGCTTTCTGAGCTGCGCCTGGCTGGGGCAGCCACAGCCACGTCCCCAAGGATGGGCACAGGGAGCTAAGAAATCCTAAGACAAAACCAGCCGATGGCCCCACCTTTTAAAAACTCTTCCTTGGAAAATGCAAAATCTGCAGCTGGGCTTAAGCCACATGTGTCAAACACAAGGCCCGCGGGCCAAATCCGTCCCACCAGGCCTTGCAATGTGACCCGCACCGCGCTGTCATCACTGCACTCCGCTGTGTTTCCATCACAATGACAGTTTATGACTGTGCAGTAAACGATTCGGCCCGCGATTTAGGCTGGATTTTAGATTTTGGCCCCTTCTCTGATTGAGTTCGACACCCCTAGCTTAAGCAGCTGATTGTTTTACTGCACTGGAAGTTTCGTTTTGGATGCAGCTGTTTTAGAAATTGGGACAAGTAGCAGGGCCGTTTGTAGAAGGTAAAGTAAGGTGATCTGGGGAGGGATCGGGAAGAGGGGACAGTTGGCACCAGATTAGCCCCAGCGTAGGAACAAAGCAGCCTCGTGTGGGAACATGCGCGTGTAGGGCCGGAAGTGAGCGCGGGGAGTGCTGCTGTTCAGTGTGTGTTCACTCGGTTGAAACGGGAAATGGAAGGCCTCCAGGGAGGTGAGGAGAAGCAGTGACCCCTTTGCTGTTCCGGGGAGTCCCACTCCAGCCCCCCTCTCCACCCCACTGAGCCAAGAGCAGCTCTGAAGTTGGTCAACCATAGCCATGCCTCCTTAGAGGGAGCTGCAGTCAGTCAACCTTATCTGATAGGAAGCCTCTGGCTGCAGATAACAACAGAAAAACACAAGTCTCCTTAAAGCTTCAAAAAGGCTATTTTATTACCTTGAATTACCAGACTGTCCAGAGGTGAGATTGATTCAGAAGTTCAAGGGTATTTTCCTTAGAGTGTCCTATTTCATGATCACAAGATAGCTGCCATGGCTCCAGGCACCAGACAGAGCTTCACTCCCAGAAAACAATGACCAGCTCTTCATTGTGTCCCTTTTAGAAGCCCTTTCCGTTATCACCACAATGGTCAGAACTGGGTCACACAGCCATTCCTTGGCCGCTGGAGGTTAGCTAATTCCTCCGCGTCAGATGGGAGCAGCACACCTGATTGGAATGGACTTAATCCAAGTGGCATCTCAGACTGTTGCTTCTGATCATGCAGGATCCCCCAAAGGCTGTTGAGGTGGACAGTTTTCTAGACTCTGTCGTGCTCCTTAGACACGTCTCCTGGGTCAAGACGAAACACTGACCTATCAGCAGGTGGATGCACACCACCTAGGTATTGACCAACCTGTCCTGCCTCCCTCCTCCCCTCCATTTCTGTTAAATTCGTGGAAACTCCAGTCCTAAGAAGTCGAGCAGGCGACCCTCTCTCGGAGCTAGCTGTCTCCGGCTCCCCCGTCTGTGCCCTGCGGTGGCTGTGGTCAAAGTGCCAAAGGCAGGGCTCTGACTCAGCTGTGTGGGGAGCCACTTCCCCAGGCCCGGCTGTCAGCTGTGGTCCCAGGAGAGGTGGGAGGAATTACTCAGCAGCCCTCGGTGCTCACGAGGGACGTGAGTCCCCGACCTTAACGTGTTTCGTGTCAGTTGCTCATCCTAAAGCCACATTTTCCTGAACGCGCGCGTGATTTTTCCAGGATGGCAAGGCATGTGACCCAAGCTCTGAATCCACATCAGGAGGACCTAGGGCCTAGTCCATCGTGCTGGTGACCTTGGCCAGCCCCTCCCATCTGTGAATCTCCCAGTTAGCCCAGCAGACACTCAGCGAGTCTGAGATAGAGTGCAGACAGCATGAGAGCCCCCACCGCCCACCCTGGAGCATGGCAGACATCACTGGTGTTTGTGCCAGATCCTGACCATAGGCCCCCAGGCAGCCCAGGAGCGGACCAATAAGAGTCAGGCTTTGACTCTTCCTTTTGCTATCCTGACTTGCCCTCCCCACAGTCTGGCCTTCAGCCCACAATTGACTTTCAGACCCTCACCTTTCCCTTTTCTTTCTCTCCCCTGAGAAGTAACTTGGCGACTCCATTTCCCGTAGTGCTCTGGAAGGCTCTGCCCTTCCTCCACGGGATTCCGGAGGTTAGTTACATCCCTGCTCTACACTTTCCAGCTGTGTGAACTTGGTCGTTTTCTTAGCCTCTGTGAGCCTCAGTTTCCTCATCTGTAAAATAGGGCCAGAACCCGCCATAAAAGGTTGTGAGAATGTGCCTGGCAGAGCACCTGCCATAGGGGAAGGGGCAGTGGAGTGTGCGCGCCACATTGGTCCAATGTCCTGTAGTGCCTATTCCTGGCTCTGCCAGGCAAACCAATCCAGGATTTTGATGGGGAAAATGAGGCAACCAGCCATTACTTGACAAAGTTTTACTTCATTTTAATCTTTGTGATATCTCCCTCCCCCCCAACTCTGACCGGATCTTGTGCTTTCAGGATGGGGAGCAGAGTGGGGGTGATAACCACCGGCCCCCAGGGAGACCGGGGGCTCTGTACCTTTAGAGCTTGTAAACCTGCGTCAGGACTGGGGCCAGCATCTCATCCTGCCAGCCGGGTGTGGCCAGGACACAGGCTCGAAGGACAAGAGCCGCCATCCCCACCCCTACTGCTCAGGACTTGGGAGAGAGCGGAACAGGAAACATACCAAGGCCCAGAGGCACCTGCCACAGCTCAGAGCTGGCCCTGAGATGCCTCTGTCTCCAGCCAAGACTCCTGGCTCTCTCCCTGGACTGCCAACTGCCCTCTGGCACCCCCACCCCAGCCACGCTGAGAGCCAGGCGCCCTGTTCCCACCAGCCAACAAGAAACAAAAGTAATGGAAATGCTAAATGTTGTTGCTAAAAAAAACAACACCTAAGTATTAAAAATTAAATTAAAACGGAAGCCCCAGCCCACTGAGCCAGCAGTGAGCTGGTGATTGTAGACCCACAGCTCCCAACCTCCCCCCGGGCCCCAGAGCCTCTGAAGGCAGCAGGAAGAATAGAGTCAGGGGGAGGGTGTCCTCAGGGGGTCCCCAGTGTGGGGCACTGAGGACTGTAAACATGACCAGCTTGAGGGCCCAGGGGTGACCCGGCCCCCTGAGAGTCTCCTCGGATGAAGAACAGCCACTGTGCTGTCAGCCTCCCCGTCGGAATATGGAGGTGGAGGGGGCCTGGACTGTGACGGGGGAAGGGATTCAGCTTCCCAGCGGCTTCTCTGCCCCTCTCGGTCTGCACCAGGGCCCTTTCCGGGCAGTGAGTCCGCCCCTCCCTAGTGAAACCTGCTGCCAAGTCAGCTCCAGCCAGGGCTGCCCAGCCAGACCGGGCCAGGTCAGGCGAGCTCCCAAGAGGCCTTGTCCCAGGACGGGAGTGGGAGAGCTGGCTCTGGGAGAGGAGGTGGGGGATGTGGCTGAAGACCGTGGGGAGGGCCAGTGAGAGCCACCACACCAACACAGGCACGGCCCCAGGCCAGAGGGTCACTACTGCACCAGGAGCACCACCTCAAGGTCTGGCTGAGGCCCAGGACAAAGCCCTGCCTCCGCCCCGCTCCTTGGGACCGGGTGATCTCACCATTCCGGTTACGCATTAAAACCTGCTGCACCTTCTGCACCTGCTGCCTCTGGAGGCGGGCGGGCGGGTGGCCTGGAGCCAGGCCAGCTTCTCAGGAGCCACTGGAGCTAAAGGAGGACAGACCCAGGTGAGGCGTGGCACGGAGCCTTCTCTGTCCGTGTGGAGGACCCGTCAGGGACGAGGGCTGACTGGGCATTTGCCTTCGGGCCACAGGACCTGACGCCAGCAGCAGGCCTTCACTGGTGATTCGGGCTGGGCCTGGGGCTAGAGTTCCTTCAGAACCAGCCCTCAGGCGTCCTGAGGTGTAGCCAGGCCCAGGATTCTCCTCAGCATGAGGCACAGTGACCCCCTCTGAGTCCTAAACGCTCTTCGGATTCCAGCACCTTCTCAGGCGCTTACATCCCTCACAGGGGCCTCAGTTTCCCTCGGGACTTAACTGTGATCTCCCTCAGGACTGGGCTCCCCAGTCTGAGGGCTGGGCCCGTCGGAGCCTGCTTAGAGCTCCAGAAGTCTGTCCGTCGGGTCCCGGCTCCTGAGCCACTGGCTCCTCAGTGCCCGGACCTCCCGCCCGTACCACTCGTGCAGCTGGCGGAAGGAGGCCGAGTCCAGAGGCCCATTGGGCGCCGAGGCCCGCCGGCGGGGTGGCAGCGGGGGGCGCTCAGGGCCAGACCGGGCGCCCGCGGAGGCGCCCGCGGAGGTGCCCGGTGAGGCAGCGGGGGGCTCGGCGCTCCAGACCGCACAGCCGTTCTCCTTGGGCGGGAGGGCGCGGGGCCGGCGCGGCGGCGGCGGGCAGCCCCCCGCCCGCATGGCCGCCAGCTGCTGCTCCAGCTCCCGCACCACCAGCCGCAGGTAGTCGAAGCTGGCCCGCGACAGGGCCTTCACCCAGCCCTCCATGGCGGCCTGGCTCTCGGCGGCCAGCACGTAGGTGCGGGCCCGGGCCTCGGCGAAGCGCACGGCGAAGGTGAACTCCTCGGCGGCCTCCACCAGCTCCACCGTGCAGCCCTCCAGGATGATGACGCCCACGGGCTCCCGGCTGGCCGCGTCCTCGAAGTAGAAGAGCATGTTCCCGCGCAGCACGAACCAGCGCCGGTGGTAGGCGGCGTGCCGGCCGCCCTTCTTGTACAGGAAGCCCGCGTTGTCCACCGGGGCGTCGCAGGTCGCGTAGAAGGCCAGGCTGCGCTCGTTCAGCTTCATGGCGGCCTGCGGGGAGCCCGGGGCCTGCCCCACGCCGGGTCCGCTGTCACCCACGCCGCCGCCGCCGCCGGGCCACCCCGCGCCCCGTCCTGACCTCCCAGCCACCCCTCTCTCACCAAAAAGGAAACTGAGGCTCAGACAGTGGAAGCGTCCTGCCCAGGCTCACACAGCTCGCAGGACCTGGATCTGCTCAAACCCCGGCCCCGGAGCCAGACTCGGCCCTCCTGCGTTCTCCTCCCCAAAATAATGTTGGGGATCCCTACTGCATTCCAAGCATCTTATGCATCCTAACTCATCTTGCAACAGACCTCGGCCGGCAGGGACTGGCCTGAGTCCCATTTGACAGATAGGAAAACAAGGCCGAGAGGTGAGTCATGCACCCAAGGTCACCAAGCAAGGCGGGCGGGTGGAGTGAAATTCAAACCCAGGCCTCCTCGCCGGGGACCAGATGGGCTGGCCTTTTTTGTGGTCCCTTTCAGGTCCCAGTTTTGATGTCCTAGCTCAGCTCTGATCTGCCTGTCCAGGGCATAAGGACACAAACAGGGCCTATTCCAGAGGCGTGTAGGGACTTCGTTTGGCAAACATGTATTAAGCTCCCACTGTGTGCCGGGCGCTGTTCTCAACACCTGGATTACTCCATCAGTAAACAAGACGAGGAGGGTCCCTGCCCTCGTGGTGCTGACATGCTAGTGGCAAGTGAAGAGGGAAGAAAACTAACAGAGTCTGCCCGGAGGTCTGGTTCTGGGCGCTGAGAAAATCCAATGTGGAGACCGGGTCAGGAGTGTGAGGGCCAGAGGAGTGTGTGATTCTCCTGGGGCGGAAGGCCGTCCTGAGAAGGTGACCTTAGAGCAGACACCTGAAGGAGGGGAGGGCGGGAGCCCCAGGGCAGCCCGGCAGAGGGAACAGCAAGGGCTTGAGGTCCCGAAGTGCTTGAGGAGCAGCCAGGAGGCCGGTGGAGCTGGAGCAGGAGGAGGGAGGGGAGAGGCAGCGGGAGCAGGCAGAAGGACAGAAAGACTGTGGTGAAAAAAATCCAGGAAAAGGACCCTGAGCTTGGCCCACAGTTACGGGAAGCGGGTGGGAGGAGAGCATCGTGGACTCAAAGGCTCAGTGACTTAACCCACCTCCCCTGAGGAGCGCCTGAGGGGCAGCACTGGCGGGGTAGGATTCACCGGGAGGTGACCCCTGGGCCCCTAATGCGACCACACCTTCCTTTGGGATTTTCCGCAGCCACTGTGAGGACCTGCCTGGTGCTCCTGCTCTCACAGCCTCACTCTACATAGGACAATAGCTGCATTTTTTCAAGAGGCGACGTATGTGAAGTCCCTGGAATGCAGTAGGTGCTCAATTAATGTTTATTCCCCAGCCTGGGCAGTGCTCTCCTCGGGGCCTGGAGGAAGGAGGTGTGGGTGGCGGTTCTCCTGAGAGCAGGGTGGCGGGAGCAGCTGCTCCCAACCGAATCGCCCAGGCCCGTGGTCGGCAAACTCATCAGTCCACAGGGCCAAATAGCAACAGTGCGACGATTGAGATTTCTTTTGAGAGCCAAATTTTTTAAACTTCTTCTAACGCCACTTCTTCAAAATAGACTCGCCCAGGCCGTGGTATTTTGTGGAAGAGCCACACTCAAGGGGCCAAAGAGCCGCATGTGGCTCATGAGCTGCATTTTGCCGACCACGGGCCTAGGAGCACCTACTTCCCTAGGCAGTCAAGGCTGGCTTCCTGGAAGAGGTGCCACAGGCTGTGATTTCATGGCTAAGGTGAGACTGTCCTGACCTAGCAGCCAGGCCAAGACTAGAGGCCCAGAAGGCTCTAGCTCCCTGTCCTGTGTGACTTCAGACGCAGGCTGCCCTTCTCTGAGCCTCAGTTTCCTTCTCTGCAAAATAAGACTCATGCATTTTCCTCAACAGCCCATCTCCACGTGGCCCCCCCACTCTATTTCTCCCGTTTCCCTCCTACCTGTCAGGCCACGGCTCCCTCCCTGCCTCTGCCCAGTCTGCTCTCAGCGTGCTCTTCCCCGGGTTGAAATGTCAGCTCCGTAGTGTCCAGGCTGTGAGACCTCAGGCAAGCGTTAAGCCTCTCTGGACCTCTATTTCCACATCTGTAAAACAGGACCATAAAAGCACCAAAGTCAGGATTTTTGTGACATTAACACAGTGATTACCCAGACGCTGCTGAGCCGGGTGCTGGGCATGCAGTACGTGCTCAGCAGTGGTAGCTCTTGTTCTTCTCACCTCCCCAGAGGCTCCCCTCGGCACTCGGTCTCAGCAAATGGCCTTTGGCTTCTCCCCTTCCACCCTCCCCCCCAACTCTGACCACTCATCAAGTCCAACTGATCTCCCTCCAACCTCTTCCAAATCAGCGGCCTAATCTCTACCCACTGCACCTCCCCATTCTAGGCCCCCATCGTCACTCCCTCGACAGCCCCTGTAGCCTTTTATTGGTCTCCCTGCCTCTACCCTCGCCTCTTCCCTGTCCGTGCTCTTCAGGGTAAGAGCCAAACTCCTTCCCAAGCCCCATTGAAACGATCCCATTGGAATCCTTTCCCCACAGAGAGATCCTGTTTAAAGCTAAATACAGCCATATCCCTCCACCACTCCACACCCTCCCAGGACTCCCTGCTTCTCTCCGTATAAAATCCAGTCCTTCCCATGGCCTCCATGTTCCCTTCCCTACCTCTGTCCCTCTTGCTCACTCAGCTTCAGCCACCGTGGACTCCCTGCTGCTCTTCAAACACATCAGGCACAGTCCCACCCCATGCCTTTGCCCCGGCTGTTCCCTCTGCCTGGAATGCCCTTCCCCTTCCCCGACCGTCTCATGGCTGACCCGCCCTCCAGTTTCATCTCATCACCTCCTCCTTGACCGCCCTGCATAAGAGACTTTTCTGTCACTCTCTTGTGCCCCAACCTGAAATTACCTGGGTCATTTTTGCCTGTTCTAGGTGGGCAGGGCTTGTTGTGTTTGTTTTTGTCTGAATTCCAGTGCCTAGCACATAGTTGGTGCTCAAGTACCTAGAGAATGAGGCAAACAGTCACCTTAAATCTCTCCACAGCCCCGTTGAGAAAGTGTCTGTTCCCATCCCACATTAATAGGTGTGGAAACTGAGACACAGAGAGGTTAAGTAACTTGCCCAAAGGTACAACACTGTGCCCAGAATCCCATGCTCCAGCCCAGCGGTCGGCAAACTGCGGCTCACCAGCCACCACGGTATGCCTGCCACTCTATTGACTGAGTTTGCCCACCACTGGGATAGGGGCTTAATCACAAGGAACAACAACAGCCTGTAATTATTGGAATCGAGAGTCTAGGTCAGTGGTCGGCAAACTCATTAGTCAACAGAGCGAGCGACGAGCTGACTGTGGCTCGAGAGCCGCAGTTTGCCGACCACTGCTCTAGCCTAAGGCTCAAAGAGGCTGTTCCTGGGGTCTCCCCACTCCATGAAAGCCAATGATAAAACAACTTCCCTCACACTCAGCAGCTCTCCTCCTCTCACTGCCCAAAATGGGGCCCGGCCGGCCCAAGGTCACCGTGACACGGGCCCCACTCTGCCCACGGTCCCTGCTTCCAGCCCCAGCGAGAACCAGGGCGGCGGGCAGAAACTGCCGGGGTGCAGTTCCGGCTTATCTCCCACACTCCTGTCTTCTAAAAAGTCCAGAGTCCATATAGACATTGCTGCTGACTCAGCCCCTGGCCTGGCAGACAGCTGCAGGGCAAACTGTCAAACTTGCTTGCTAGGGGGCCTGGCCCCTCTCCGGTCCCAAGGCCAAGTTCTCACTTAGACCAGTCTCCGCAGGAGGGTCTTGAGAAAAATCACTTCACCTTTTCAAGCCCCCGTTTCCCCATCTGTCAAGTGGGCTCTGGAGAGGATTCCACGAGTTAAAATGAGGAAAGCCCGACGCCCAACTACGGGAAAGCCATCAACCATACTCACAGCCTCACCTATAAAATGAGAACGGAACACCCATCCCCCCTGGGAGGGTTGAATAAATTGTCCTGAAGTTGAATAAACTGTCCTGAAGTGCCATTTTGCAAAATGCTTAGCAGGCAGCGAGCACTCAGGGGAGCTATCCAAAAGACAAGTTAGCTCAAGGTCTCCAGGGACACCGCTGGCCCGGAAGCCTGGCCGCTGGAGAAACTGAGGCATGGCATTTGGGCACTCCATTCGAGGAAAGAAACCGCCCCACAGGTCCTGGAGTTGAGTCCAGCTGCCACAGGTGTCCCCCAGCAGTGTGTACGGGGGAGAGGGTGTGGCGAGTACAGGCAAAAAGGGTGCTGGGAGCCCCGAAGCGGGGACCGCGGGGACGCCAGGAGCCTGCCCCAGGCTAGAGGCAGCCCCGCTGCCCATCCTGGAGGCTGGATCTCCGGGTCTGGCTGCTCCCCGCAGCCCTCCGTCCCTTGGTGTGCCCGGTGGGGAGCGCTCTTGAGTTTCCTAAAAGACAGCCAGAGCCCCAGATTGGCGGTCAACAGAGAGATGTGGGTGCCAAGTGGAGGGCTCGTCCCCAGAGTCCCCCCAGCAGCAGAGGGCCCTTATGGGGGGTCTGGGAGACGGAGAGCGGACTGCAGGATCCCGGATCGATTCCAGTCAAGGGCACGTACCTCACCTGCCGAGCTCGCCCGGGCAGCCGGGGTCCCTAAAGGAACATGACTCCTGAAGTGGAATCGCAAACAGGCAGATCCCCAGCACAGGTCTCCCCGGGGCCCACGGCGGCCCGAGCCGGTCCCCCGCGTCGGGCTGGCCCTACCTGGCGGCGCGGCCTAGGGCGGCGGCGGCGGGACGGGAGGCGCGGGGCCGGGCAGCGGATCGGCCATGGCCCGGGACCCGCGCTCCGGGCGGCGGCGGCGGGGCTTTGTCTGCGGGCGGCGCGGCCTCGGGAGCACGGGGATCAGATGGAAGGAGGCGGGGACAGCCCGGCGGCCCGAGACCCGGGGGCGCACCCCTTTAGCCCCCCGCGTCGGTCCCGCCCCCGGATTGGCCGGCCGGGCCCGGCACGCCCCCGGATTGGCCGGCCCGGTACGCCCCCGCATTCTCCCCGCCCCTGGGCTCCTCCCGAAACCACTCTTAAAGGGGCCGCGGCGGGTTCACAATCCTCAGTGCGGGATCCCAGGAAAGAGAGGCAACCGGTTTCCAGGGGGGGGGTCGCCCGGAGAAAGAAAGCCTGGGGTCCTGGGCAGGACCACTCACTAAAGCCTCGGCCTGGAGCCCCAGACCCTCCCTGGTAGGGTGGCCAGTGCTGAAAATGAGTGATGTATTGGGGGAAAAAAATAACCTGAATACAGGACATTCCGGGCATTCTGACAAAGTCACTAGAGGACTGCTGTATGCACAGGGTGCCTGTCAAGCCTTCCCCTTGCCCAGGGGGAGAGAGGAAGTTGGGGGCTGGGGGTGTTAGAGAAATCGCTCCACTTCTCCAGGCCTCAGTTTCCTCTGCAAAATAAAGACAGTCGTGGTATATAAAGTTCATGGCACACAGTAAATGCTCTCAGCAAATAGCAGTTGCTGTTCTTTTTCTTTTACACAAAATAAAAAAGTCCACCTCCCTAGATCTGTATTGACTTCCTGCTCTTGCTGCCTCCTCCTCACCACCCTCCAGGACTCAATAGCTGTCCAGTCCTGGCCTGAGGGCAGGAGAGAGATGGGACCTATCAGTATCATCTGTTCATTCTGCAGCCTCCCACTAAGTGCCTGCTGTGTTCCAGGCATTGTTCCCCGATCCTTCAACAAATCAAAGAAGATGAGTTCTAGAAGTGGCTTGTGCTAGGAAGACTATTGGCCATGGCAGAGGGGTCAAAAGACTGGGAGTGCAGCCCTAGCCGGTTTGGCTCAGTGGATAGAGCTTTGGCCCTCGAACTAAGGATCCTGGGACCAGTAAAGGGCATGTACCTGGGTTGCAGGCTTGATCCCCAGCCTGCCAGCGGAAGTTGATAGACATATCTTTCTCACATAAGTATCTCTCTTTCTCTCTCTCTCTCTCTCTCTCTCTCTCTCGCTCTCGCTCTCGCTCACTCTCTCTCTCTCTCTCTCTCTCTCTCTCTCTCCCCTTCCCTCCCTCCCTCCTTCCCTCCTTTCCACTCACTCTAAATCTGACTATTTTACCTACAAATCATGTCTTGAGTTTGTCACTTCTGCATTTCCACCGCCACTTCCCCAGCCCAGGCCGCTCATCTACCCCACCAGGGCCGCTGCGGAAACCTGCTCTCGGCTCTCCCTTCTGCCTCTCCGGTCCCTGAACCCCCGAATCCGTTCCCCCAGGGGATCCCAGTGAACTTAAATCCAGTGATGGCGCTTTCTTGCCCAGATCCTTTCCATGGCTCCCCACTGTGTCAGGAGCCAGTCCAGACTCCGTCCTGTGAGGGATTTGCCCTGGCCTCCGCCCACCCCTCCGGCCACTCCACACAGTCTCCGATCCCCCGCCTTCCTCAGCCTCGGCCACCTGGCTTCCCTCCGTTCCGAGAACGCACAGCGCCCTGCACCTTTGCACCTGCTCGTGTCCCTTCCACAGCTCATCCTCCCAAACTTCCCTTAGCCATCCCCTCTTCCGGGAAGGAGAGGACCCCCAACCCCACCCCGCCACCTCGAGCGCCTTTGTTTCCTCCAATCAGTCATTCTCTGAGCCAATATCCGGTGAGCACTACTGTGTCCCAGACACCAGGACACACGTTCCAAAGACAGACAAACCACATGCAGGTGCGTCGCAGCTCTGCTTACAATAGCCAAAGCGTGGAAACAAGCCGAATCTCCACCCGTGGGTGAACGGATAAACGAAACGTGGTCCATCCGTGGCACGGAATGTTACTCAGCCACGAAAAGGAGCGAAGCACCGGCACATGCTGCCGTGTAGACGCACCTGGAAAACATGATCCTGAGGGAAAGAACCCAGACACACAGGCCACGGGCTGTGTGCTTCCATTGGTCTGAAATGTCCGCGGGGACAGAAAGCAGACCCGTCCTTGCCAAGCAGTGGGGGAAGGGAGGGTAGGAAGTGGGTGCTGAGTGGGGAGGGGGTGCTTTTGGGGGATGCAGATGTTTTGGTACTGGATAGAGGTGGTGGTCGTGAATTCACTTCAAAGCGGTCAATTTTTTATGTCATGTGAATTCCTCCTCAATAAATAGTTACTTTTTTAATGACCGACAAGGGATCCTGCCCTCCCTTGCCAGAGGGGGGAAAAAAATATAAAAGAGCAACATTCATCCCGCACATGGATGACGTTAGGAGTCGGTCCGGGAGAAAAGGAAAGCAGGGTGGAGCCTCTGGGTCGCGGATGAGGACGGTGGTGCGGCCGTGTTCACGGGGAGGGGCCCGGGAAGGTGGGTTTGGGGAAAAGACCTGAATCGAACCAGGGCACAAGCCATGCCGATATCCAGAGGGAAGGGCGGAGGGAGCAGCACATGTAAAGGCTCAGAAGCAAGAGACCTGTCAGAAGTCGGTGTGGCCGGAGCAGAGGAGGCGGGAGGGGAGATGGGGAGGCCTGGGGCTCTTCTCAGAGGCCGGCGGGGGAGGAGGAGGAAGCCGCGGAGGAGTGAGAAGGCCAGGCCAGTTGTAGGTCGCGTCCCTGGGGTTTGAAAACTGTGCCTACCCTGGGCACGTCCCCTCCGCCCCCGGGTCAGAAGGGAGGGCCACCAGCACATGGAGTTTTGTCTGCTTTGCTCACAGCTGAGTCTCCAGTGCTGGCACGGCACCTGCCAGGGTCTAGGCGCCGGATGACGGGGACATGACTCAGGGCTGAGCCAGTTCCTCCCAGGAAGGTGCCCACACACAGGACCCGCCATCTCACACCCAGACCTCAGCCTCCCGACCCTTTCTCTCCATCCCCCACCCTGGGCAGCCCCCGGCAGGGAGACACGGTGGTGGTCCGAGCTTGGGTCTGAGGGCGAGTTTCCTTCCACAGCGGCTGCCCCACCCCAGAAGTGGTTAGGACCAGCCAGCCCCAAGAAGGAACTGAAATTGTCCTCCACCACAGACACCTGACCCAGCCCACAGGCTGGGGGGGCCATGGAGGAGGAGAAGTGATAGGAAGGGCCGGAGTCCCCAGACTTCAAGGCCCCCCTCCGCTGGTACATGTTGGGGGAAGCAGAGGCCTGTGCACCACCAGCCCGAGACCCAGATCCTGAGTGTGAGCAAGTTTTGCTGAAAGCATGGAGACCTGGAAGGTCTTGCCAGCTCATTCCATAGAGACAAACGGAGGATCTAAGAGGCCTGCCTTCAAAGATGGCGTTGTCAACTCTTCTCCTCATCCCTTCCATAATTTATGGATCCTCTCATTCCCCCTCCCCAAACCCCTTCTGTCTTCTGCCGCAGACCCCAAATTCCCAAGTACTTCCTCCCAAGGAGCTCAATTTAAACTTCCCCAGAGTTTCACCTGCTCCTTGATAATGACCACTAAGTCCCAGCCGGCGTGGCTCCGTGGTTGAGTGTCGACCTTTGAACTGGGAGGTCACAGTTTGATTCCCAGTCAGGGCATATGCCCGGCTTACAGGCTCTATCCTAGAGCCTGTAACTGATCAATGATTCTCTGTCATTATTGATATTTCTATCTCTCCCTCTCCCTTTTTCTCTGAAATCAATAAAAATATATATTTTTAAAATGCCCTCTGTATCTATGAGTCTGTTTCTGTTCTGCTTGTTTATTTTGTGTGTTTTTTAATTTTAATTCTTGATAAGTGCATATTTATTGCCATTTTATTGTTCATATGTCTTATCTTTCTCTTCCTCTTAAAGAAGACCCTTTATTGTTTTATATAATACTGGTAAGGTGGTGATGACACCTTTAGCTCCAACTCAGAGCAACTTGTAACCATGCTTTGAGCTGGAAATTAATGTATTTAAGGCACATATTTGGGTTCCAATCCCCACTCTGCCATTTTCAAAAGCTGTGTGACCTCCTGCAAGTCACTTCACCTCTCTGTGCCTTGGTTTCCTCATCTGTAAAACTGAAGAAGTAACCATCTCCATCTCATAAGATTTTGTGAAGGATTTCAAGAACAACAGGTAACATTTACTGAACTCTTTTACTCTGTATTTTGCTTCTCATGACAACACTGAGAAGTAGGACCAATGACCACCCCCGTTTTACAGGTAAAGAAACCAAGTCGAAATGGCTTGCCTGAACTTAGGCAACGAACAAGTGGATTTGAATCCAGGCAGTCTGGAGTGTGAGTCTACACCTGCTGCCCCTTCAGGCAATAACACAGCATTGGCACATCGTAAGTACTCCTGCTTACAAGTTTGTTGTTTTGTTTCTGCTTACAAATTTTGGTTGGCAATTCAAACATCTTTGAGTAATAGAAAGGTTTAAAAACAACTAAGTCAGTATCTGTAGGTTAAGAATATCAAAATATAGGGGCCCTTGGGGGAAATTTACAATTTAACCATTTTAGTTTAAAATATGAATTAAAAACCAAAAACTTTTGAGGGGTATAACACCAACAAAGGAATGAGTAATTTCACCGTAAGGGACAAGCCCTCTCCCAGCCTTAGAGGCTTGGTACAGAGGAGGCAACCAGGGTCGACTTCAGGCAGAGGTCACATTTCAGGTAGTTTTAAAGGATGTAGAGGAATCTTCCAAGCAGAAGAAAGAGAAAGAGAATATCAGGCAGTGAGAATAGTATGGGCAAAGGTCTGGAAACACAAAATGGGACAAAAAGAAGTCCGGTGCAGAGTGTTTGGTGGATATTGTCACGAGATGAGACCTTTTGGGTTAAAGGGGTTGGAATGTCAGGCTGAGGTGTCTGACGTTTATAAGGTAATGGAAACCATGGAGAGCTGGGAAGAGACATGGCACATTCATTAACAAGAGATTTGTGCCTCGGAAATTAATAATAATAATAATAATAATAATAGCATTTATTGAGCACTTAGATGGATTATTTTACTTAATTTCCAC